ATACCTCGACATTATAAAGGCTACATATGACAAAGCCACAGCTAACATCACATACCATGGTTAAAAGCTAAAGGTGTTTTCTTTAAGATCAGGATGTCTGCATTTACCACTTTTATCCAACATAGTATTGGAAGTCCTAGCCACAGCAATCAGGCAAGAAAAAGAAAATAAAATTTATTCAAATTGGAAAGGAAGAAGTAAAACTATCATTATTTGCAGATGACATGATACTATATAGAGAGGACCCCCAAAGATTCCACCAAAAAGTTATTAGAACTGATAAATGAATTCAGTAAAGCAGCAGGACACAAAATTAATATTTAAAAATTGGCTGTATTTTTATACAGCAATAGCAAGCTATCAGAAAGAAAACATTTTTAAAAGCAATCCCATTTACAATTGCATAAAAAAATACATTAAAAAATACGTTTAACCAAGGAGGTAAAAGACCTGTACCTGGAAAACTATAAGACATTGAAGAAGATACAAATAAATTGAAGGATATATTGCCCTCATGGGTAGGAAGAATTAACATCATTAAAATGTCCATACTGCCCAAAGCAATCTACAGATTCAATGCAATCCTATCAAAATACCAATGGCAGTTTTCACAGAACTACAATAGAACAAATAATCCTAAAATTTATATGGAACCACAAAAGGCCCCGAATAGCTAAAGCAACCTTGAGAAAGATGAACAGTGTTAGAGGTATCATGCTACCTGATATCAAACTATACCCCACATCTATACTAATCAAAACAGCATGGTACCGGCATAAAAACAGACACATAGATCAGCAAAACAGAAGACAGAATCTAGAAATAAATCCACTCCTATATAGTCAATTAATCTATGACAAAAGAGGCAAGAATAAACAATGGAATAAAGAGAGTCTCTTTAACAAGAGGTGTTCGGAAAACTGGACAGATGCATCCAAAAGAATGAAACTGGATCACTTTCTTACATCATATGCAAGAATAAACTCAAAATGAATTAAAGACTTAAGTATCAGACCGAAAACCATAAAAGTCCTAAAAGAAAACATAGGCAATAAACCCTTGACATTTCCCGAAGTAAAAATTTTTTGGATATGTCTCCTAGGGCAAGGGAAACAAAAGGAAAAATAAACAAATAAGATTTCATCAAACTAAAGAGTTTTTGCAAACATAGGGAAACCATGAACAAAATGAAAAGATAATCTCCCAAATGGGAGAAGGTATTCGCCAATGACACATCCAATAAGAAGTTAATATCCAAGGGCCGGCTGAGTGGCTCAGTTGGTTAAGAGCTCGCTCAAGAGTTTGAGCTCTGAGCAACAGCAGTTCGAGTCAGCCCGAGCTGAGCAGCCGTGAGCTGCCAACAGGTGGCGGGATGGCTCAGCTAAAATTAAAAAAAAAAAAAAAAAAGAAGTTAATATCCAAAATGTATAAAAAATTCATACAATTTAACACATACACACAAAATCAAACAACCTGATTTAAAAATGGGCAGAGGACCTGAATAGACATTTCTGCAAAGAGGACATACAGATGGCCAATAGACATATGAAAAAATGCTCACATCACTAATCATCAGAGAAATGCAAATAAAACCCACAATGTTCTATCACCTCACATCTGTCAGAATGGCTATCATCAATAAATCAACAAGCAACAAGTGTTGGATAGGTTGTGGAGACAAAAGGGAACCCTCAAGCACTGTTGGTGGGATTGCAAACTGGTGCACCCAGTATGGAAAACAGTATGGGGATTCTTCAAAAAAGTAAGAATAGGATTACCATATGACTCAGCAATCCCACTTCTGGGTATTTATCTGAAGAAATCCAAAACACTAATTCTGTAACACCGAAAGATATATGAATCTTTATGTTCATTGCAGCATTACTTACAACAGCCAAAAATGTGAAAGCCACTTAGGTGTCCATCGATAGATGAATAAAGAAGAGGTGGAACATATGTACAGTGGAATATTACTGAGCCATAAAAAATGAATTACATTTTGCCATTTGCGACAATATGGATGGACCTAGAGGGTATTATGCTATGTGAAGTAAGTCAGACAGAGAAACACAAATACCCTATGTTTTCACATATGTTATTTATACGTGTAATCTAAAAAACAATGGTGTTTACATTTGTAATCTAAAAAACAAAAGAAATGAGCAAACAAATTCATAGATACAGAGAACAAACTGATGGTTGCCAGAAGGTTGGGCCTGGGGGGTTGGGTGAAAAAAATGAAAGGATTAAGAAATATAAATTCGTAGTTATAAAATAGTCACAGGGTTGTAAATTATAGCATAAGGAATATAGTCAGTAATGTCATAATAACAATATATGGTGTCAGATGGGTACTAGACTTATTGGGATGATCACTTCATAAGTTATATAAATGTCTAATCACTATGTTGTACAACTGAAAATAATATAATATTGTATGCCAACTGTAATTTTGAAAATTAAAATTATAAAAATAAATAAATAAATGCATCCCAGCACTTCTCAAACTCATAGCTTTTGTCTTACACAATGCGAAGTTTCTATTGAGTCTGTGCCCTCTGAATGGTTCCTCCATCAGGTGATCCCAAGGTAGTGACTCACATGTACTTTATTTGGTAGATGACTCTAGGAAGCAAGTGAGGCCATGGGGAAGTGAGAAATGGAAAGAAAAGAAGCCAATCATGAGTATGTCAATAACCAAGTAATTTTGGTGGGCAACTGAATCTGAAGACTTTGCCTCGGATTCATCCTCCCAGAAGGGCAAGGAAGCTGAAGGATTTAACCACTCTCTGATCAGTTATTGGTAAAGGGTGCTATGAAGAACTGTGGGGTCGCTATTCTCTGAAATTCCTGGCAAAGTGTTTCAGAGGCTGGTTATTGGATGTGTGGGGCTACTATGCCCAGGAATGTTGCAAGTATCAGTCAGCTTAGGTTTGTTGCAGTAACAAATAACCCCCAAACAGCTTAGAATGACAGAAGCTGGGGTTTTTTTGCTCATAATACAGGCCCATAAATGGTAGACTTCTGATAATTCCAGTACTGTGTGAGCCTAAGGTATTCCCTTTTATTCCTTTTGAGTAATTCTTTCTTGGCCTCATATAATTTCTTCACGTGCATACACCAGTCAAAACTTGGCCAAAGAATGAATGGGGACTCTCTGCAGGTTCTGTGCAGTTCTGTCTTCTCAGAATTCTGCCCTGAGAATCCTAGCCTCTTTGGCCTGACTCAATTCCCAACTGTCTCTCTTTAAACCAGGGAGTTCTTGGAACTCTGCATGGGTTTTCCCTCCCTGTATTACAATCTTGAAACCCTCTCCAGGCAGCAAGTGGGGGCAATTGTAGGGCTCACCTCATTTCTCCTCTTTCAAGGACCACTGAACTACAGTAACTTCCAGTGTCTGAAAATAATGTTTCATACTTTCTGTCCAATTTGACAAATTACTTGTTTTAAGCAGGAGGGTAAATCCAGGCCCTGTTACTCCATAGTTGCTGGAGCTTATCATGGAGCTATCTTAATTCCATCTCTACAACCACAAGCTGATAAATCAGAATTGTCATAATTATTTGAGGGATTTTTGTTGGAAAAATCCTTTCCAGCATTAACTGATTTGAGCCAGTTTGATTCCTGAATCATTTTTATTTTCAATACAGTTCAGGAGTTTCCCTTTTCCCCCCTCTTTTTCCTTTTTATTTCACTGGGATTCTTTTTAATAATAAATTGTGCTAGCCTCCGAGAATGAGTTGGATGAACTCTCTCCTTTTTTACACACCCAGTCTGTGGATGTTAGCTGAGGTTCTGGAATTCCTTTGCAGGCAAGTTACTAAGAATCTGGTATGCCTCAAAAAAAAAAAACAACCTCCTAAATTTCAGCAATTTGGCATGTTGTAGTCACTGCCAAAACGCACTCTTGCTGAAACTGTTGCAGGCTGGCGAAGCTATTTTGCACCCAAGTTACCGCTATGAGTTCCAGGGTTGCTGGGGGAGGGGGAGCAGGGTGGTGCAGTGACTCTTATATGTTGCAGTCTGAAAGTGACATGGTCCATCCAGTCTCAGCTCATTCATTCACCAGTTCACCAGGCGTGGTTCTTGCAGGCCATTCAGTGAGTCACATGAACCCAACCTGAATCTGGTTCAGTTCCACGAGGAGACCTTGAGACAAGGATTTCAATGCAAGGAGTGTCGTCCTCACACAGCACCAGCAGGGAAGTGGGAAAGTGACAGGAGGAAAGGAAGGACACCATAAGAAAGAGTTGGCATTACTGAGCAGGGGACTGCTGGGCCAGCTGGGGCTCGGTCTTGCTGCTTACCTGTGAACGATTGTTGTCTAGATCGATAGCAGAGAGGGTTGAGGAATTGTCCTCTAACTCCCATCTGTCATTAAGATGTATTCCATTCAGTGCAACAATAAGGAATATAACCCAGTATGGTGGGCAGAATATTCTCTCCCTAAAGATGTCCTTGTCTTAGTCCTCAGAACCTGAGAATCCATGTTACATTACATGAAAACATGAGAATGAAGGTTGCAGATAGAAATAAGGTTCCTAATCTGCTGACCTTAAAACAATGAAACCATACTGGGTTATCCCAGTGTCCCAGTGTAATCGTAAGGGTCCTCTAAATGTGGAAGAGGGGGGCAGAAGAGTCAGTTTTAGAGCCCCACAAAATCAGAAAGACGAAAAGTCCTTGTTGGCTTTGAAGATGGAGGAAGGGGCCACCAGCCAGGAAAGGCAGGCAGCCTCCAGAAACTAGAAAAGCAAGAAAACCAATTCTCCCCTAGAACCTCCAGAAAGGAATGCAGCCCTGCAGACACCCCGAATTCAACCCAATGAGACCCGTTTTGGACTTCTGACTTCCAGAACTGTAAGATAATAAATTTGGGTTGTTTTACACAAGCAAGTTTGTGGTAATTTGTTATAACATCAATCGGAAATGAATACACACACCTAGGAATAATGCGTTTTTTAAAATGTCTATGAAGAAAAACATAAAACTTTACTGAAGGACATTTTAAAGGCACCTGAATAAATAATTGGTTCATGAATGAATGGACAAACATACATACATATGTACACTCCCAGCTAAAATTACAAACTGATTCAAAACTCTCTGGGAAGTAAAATGCACAGCAGTGGAGAGAAACATTGAAAGGAAACATATCCTAGTGTATATCAACCCCATTATAAAACTGTAGTAATTGAAACAGTGGCAAAGGAATAAACAATAAGTTCAGTAGTAGGCATAATGCAATATGTGACTTTATTAAGGGGACATCATGGGGGCCGAGTAGGGGCACTGAGATCATCAATAGAAGACAGATGGTTGATAGCCTATGGCGGGATGGGTCTTACAGGAGAAGGAGGTCTCAGAATCTCAGGATCTCAAAAACCTCAGTTCAGGAGGAGGAAAAAGAGAAGGAGGTGGGGCCAGAGAGAAGCTAGCAAAGCGCATGCCCAAACTGCCTGATCCCTGGCGGGGTGGGAAGGGCTGACAGTGTCCCTCACAGACCAGGGCAGGGAGCTGATGGTTTCTCACAGATCCAGAAGTCTTCTGCACTACATTTGTTATCATTCCAGCCATCGGTGGACAATTCCACACAGTCTTCATCTCCAATATTGTTAGGTTCCCCTTCTATCCAGAAGCTGTGGACACCATCAGACCTGAGTCCCCTCCTTCACCCAGAGCCCATCCCCACAACCACCCTTGGCAAAGCTGGTCCACGGCCTTTGGCAGCAAATGTCCAAGAACCAGCCAGATGGGGGAGACTAATTCAGAGGTAAGGTTTTCAAAATGTGGGTTCAAAAACTACCTCCTTCCAAGTCAGCTCTGGTAAAGAAAAATGCAGATTCCTGGGCCTGTACCTAGACTTATAGCATCAGCCCTCTCACTTCACCCTGCATCTCCACCCAGCTTCTCAGCGGCACTTTCCAATCCCAGAGTCTGAGCACCCCTGGTTTGGGATGGGGGGTCATTTCCCTGCTCTCCTCCTTCTAGGCCATTATCAGTGGGAGATCACCTGAGTGTGAGGGGGCTCTTGTCCACCCATTGCCAGAAAGTCTCATTGTGTTGGTCACTGAGGCCGATCCAGATGCGCTTATTATTTCTGATATCCCAAAACTTCAGGAACTTCTGGGGGTGTGGGAAGGGGAGAGGGTGGGGCATCGAGGAAGATCCATGAATGCCACCCTTCCCACATCTGCCCACATTCCCACGGTCTCCTGCATCTCACAGAAGTCCTTTCCGCAGTCTCGCCTATAGCCCCTACTTAATTTGTATGTGTTCATGTGTGCATGTATGCTGTGGATGTGTGGAAATGTGATAGATTGTGTCTCAGTTCACTTCTGTATCATCGGAGGGATTACTCTGAATATCTTTCCTGTCCATACATGGGCTCCTCTCACATTACCTTCACAAATCCACTATTCCTCCCCCTGGAAAGCCTTCCCTGACTGCAACGCCCCCTCATCACCCCCCCACCACCACCAGCTGCCCACCAGACCTCCATCTCTCAGAGAGCAGAGGACTGTAGCAGAAGGCTTTTGGTTGACCAGTCACCTGGCCCAGCCCCAGACAGAAGGCTAGCCCAGCGCACCTGCTCCTCAGCATTGTTGATGACCACCAGCTGGGCCCTAATGTCCTCACAGGCAGAGACAGCAGCTTTCCAAGTGCTCTGGGTCTGGGAGAAGATATAGCAGCTTCCCTGGAAGAGGGTCCAATCCCAGGGGCAGGGCCGGCACAGGCCAGCTGGGGGGGAGGAGCAGGGTTGGATTTGCCAGTTAAGGAGACAGGCTGTTCGGCTCCCAGGCCCCTGACACCTGCATCAGATCTTGGGAACCTAAGGCCAGGCCCCTTTGTTCGCTGTCAGCTCAGTCCCTGAGAAACCCATGAGAAAGATCCCAGCTCTGCCTTGCCATCCTTAGCCGGCCGCCACAGAAGGTGAGCTCAGGCCCTATCTGTGGCCCCACAACTCCCTCCTGACCTTGATGTCCAAAACTTACCCAGGGTGGCATTCATCCAGGTCAGCTGCTGGCGGATCTTCTCCAGATCTGATTGTGTCTGCTCCTGCAAAAGGACCACTGGGGGAAGAAGACTTTAGTTATTAAGCACCTACTGTGTGCTGGGTGCAGAGAGGGCCCCATGAAAACAAGATCTCTGCATCTCGCTGGGACCGCAACAGACCATTTACACAAACAAGGAAACTGAGGCTTAGAGAGCGACTTGCTCAATATCACAGGCCCCCAAGACCTCACACAGGGAGCCAGTCTCCTCCTCCACTCCTGCCTTCCCTCCTTCACCCCTTGTCCAAAGTCACACAGCATTGGAGCCCTCTCCCACTCCAGAACCCAGCATCCAGCCCCTCACCCGGGCTGCGGCTCTCCTGATGGCCTGTCTCTCTCGGCAGGGATTGTTGGATCCTGGAAACTACAATAGAGCAGAGAATTCCTTTTTGTGAGTGCCGACTGTATGCCTGATCCTGTGCCAAGTCCAGTTTCAAGGTCTCTGAGAACCTAAGTCCCCCCACACACAGAGGAAGATGAGCTGCATTTCACAGATGAAGAAACAGGCTCCGAGAGGGGTAGTAATCAGCCCACAATCACACACAAGATGATGCAGAACTCAAATGCCCCAGTCCTAGTGAGTTTGGGGTTTGTGGAAAGGGACAAAGACCATCAAAGAGTGAAAACCCAAAGCCACTCAGGACTCCCAGCTCCCAGTCCCTGACTCACCTTGAACCAGGGTGGTTAGCAGGAGCATGAAGAGACCCAAAGAGATGAAAAGCAGCATCAGAGGCAGAGGGGCCCGGGTCAGACACCCTGAAGGATAGGCAGAGCTGGGGGCTCAGGGACAGATCCTGCTCCACCTCACCCATGCCGGAGGGAGCCTCCCAGCTGCCCCCTTTCCCAGGTGCTTGCTGCTGAACCACCCACCCCAGTACCTGGTAAGTTTCTTAATCTCCTGGATAACCCAAGGTCTTTCTCAGCCAATCTCTGGCCCTCAAATAGCTCCTTCTCTTCTGAATAGGACAGAACAAACTCAGCTGAGCTTTGAAGCCTCCTGAGCCCTGCTGGAGGCCAGACCCGGGCCCCCCAGGACCCTGGAGCTCTGCCCTCGCCACCATCACCCCAGAGTGAGGCCCAGCCTCATCAAGACCACCTGGCTCCTTGGGGTCACACATCTCCGCCATCCTCCTCTCCTCTCTGCTCTTCTAGCCAACTTTTCTCTGTACTATCTATGTTTTTATAACCCCATGTATTGCCCTTGGCAGCCCCTCCTCAGATCTATTCCTCTCTATCTCAGGAAAAAGAACAAGGAACAGGGTGGGGACTCCACTTCCTCTTGGGAAAGTGGTGGGTAGAGATGAAATGCCTGACACAGCTATGAGAGAAGTCTTTTAGGGTGGAGGCAGAAGCTTCTTGGTCAAGGCTAGTGCCAGAAGGTGCAGCTCCAACCCCTATCCGGTCTTGGGACCTTTGGCCCTATCTTATCAGAGCCTCAGTTTCCTCAACTTTGAAATGGGACAATTACCCTGCCTCATACTGTTATTGTGAGATTGACTATAGTGCACCAGTAATGGGTATAAATTGTCTATCCCAATGATAAATACTCAGTAGTCATAGCACTTAACATATGCCCCACAGAACCCTGTGCTCTGTGTTCACCCTCACTGCCACAAGTGATAAACCTGATTTTGTTCAATCATAGGTGTGTTCTGGTTGCTTTTTGGCTGGGGGCACTGACAGTTCTCACAATACCCCTGTGAGAAAGGTATAGCTATTATCTTCCTTTACATATGAGAAAACTGAGGAACAAAGTGGGCAAGCAACTTGTAAGCGTCACACAGCTTGTAAGTGATGTGGCTGGGAGTTGGATCCAGGCAGGTTGACTTCTGAGTCCCTGCTTAACCACTACACTAAGCAGTTACCCTTTCTCCCTTCTTAATTACTAAGTATTTTGTAGAGTCACTTTGAAACTACGTGTATCAAACTTTGAATATCTTTATGAGTGGGCTCCTAGTTTCCTATCTGATTCAGTCAGTTTTATGTTACTATGTTTTCTTTTCAATCTAAAGTGAGTCTCTTTGTCTGAGGGTGGGACAAGGTATAGTGGCCACTGTAACAAGAAAGTATCTCCAGACTTAAGAACTATGCAGGCAACTTCATAGAATATAACAGAATTTATTATAGGGTAATTTACTTACGGGAAGATTGGGTCAGAGCAGAACAGACCACCCAGCAATTCTGTGCAGATTATTCTCTGGAACCAGACCCCTGTTACTGTACTTTTTATAGTATAACTCAGTACTAATGATTGACAAGACAAAGGAGCAAAGAAAAGAAGCTGTGCTGGAGGCTGTGATAGGTGATTGTCTAAATCCATACTGTCACAGTCTGAAATTTACCTGCCATTACTAACAAAAGTATTTATGGCTACATTTTAAGGAACACAGGTAATCATCAACTAAAAGGTTTTGATGTGCTTGCTAAGCACAGTGAGGTTGTTCACAGAATAAAACTTAAAAAGGAAGTGAAATCCAGACACAGGGATGGAGTTGGTTTTGTTCACATCTACATCTATAGACTTATAAACAGCATATAATTAGATCATCTTTTTTTTATCCATTCTGTCAATCTCTATCTTTGAATTGAAGAGTTTAACCTTTTATATTTAATGTAATTATTGAAAAGGTAGAGTTTATAGCTGTCATTTTGCTATTTGGTTTTCATATGCCTTACAGACATTTTGTTCCTCAGCTCCTCCATTACTACCTTTTTGTAGTAAATAGATATTTTCTAGTGTATAATTTAAATTCTCTTGTTTATTTTACTATATACTTTTTTTAAAGATTTTTATTGGGGAATTGGGAAATGGGAACAGCGGTGGGGAGTTGGGGAAAGGGGAACAGACAAGTTGCTGTTGTTTTGTTCTTCAGTCTAGTTGTGGAAGACGTTGCTTCACTGGCCCAAGTTGGCACCATCATTGCACTCTTCCCGGGCGAGGCAGATCAGTCGCCAGCTTCTGGACGGCCACTCACTGTGGCTGCTGGCCGCTCACGCTGGCTGCTGGCTACATACGGTAGCCCATGGCAACCCACTGCCACAGGGGCTGCAGCCTATGCCGTAGCCGGTGACTCTCGGCAGCCCAGCTCCAGGTTGAGCTGTTGTTCAGCATCTTAGCTGTAGAGGGCAGTGTCACTGGCCCGCATATGTGGGATCCGAACCGGGGTCCTCTAGCATCCCAAGCCAGTTCTTAACCATTGCACCACTCGGCCAGCCCACTATATACTTTTTAATTAGTTTCTTAGTGCTTTCCTTCAGGATTACTATTAACATCTTAATTTATAGCAATCTAGTTCATAATAATACCAACTTAATTTTTTTATTAAATTATTTTTTATTATGAAATACACATTTTTTAGAATTAGTTTCAGCTGTACAACACAGTGCAATAGTTATACTTTTCCAACTTAATTTTAATAGTATGCAAAACCTTGCTCCTATACATTGGGGTGTCGGAAAAGTCATGATATATTTTTTCTATGTTTTTCATTGCAAAAATGCATCATGACTTTTCCAACAACCCTATAATTCAACTTCCCCCTCCCTTTATGCTGATATTATCAGAAATTACATCTTTACACATGTGTGCCCATCAATCTAGATTTCTAATTATTGCATTACACAGTTTTAAATCATATGGTGAAACAAGAGATAACAAACAAAAAAATACATTTACACTGTCTTTCATATTTACCTATGTAGTTACCTTTATTGGCTTTTTATTTCTTCATGTAGATTCATGTTACTGTCTAGTGTTCTTTCATTTTATCCTGAAAAACTCCCTTCATTTATTTTATTGTGGTAAACATAACATAAAATTTACCATTTAAACTGTACAATTCAGTACATTCATAATGTTGTGCAACTATCACCACTATCTAGTTTCAGAACACTTTCATCACCCCAAAAGAAAACCACATACCCTTTAAGCAGTCACTCCCCATTTCCACCTCCCCCCAGGCCCCAGAAACCTAATCTACACTCTGTCTCTGTGGATTTACCTATTATGTATATTTCACACAAATGGAATCATACAACACCCTTTTGTGTCTGGCTTCTTTCACTTAGCATAATGTCTTCAAGGTTCATACATGTTGTCACATATATCAGTACTTTATTCCTTTCTGTGGCTGAATAGTGTAGTTTTGCTGGATAAAGAATTCTTGGTTGACAGCTTTTTTTCTTTCAACATTTCAAATATTCTTCCCACTGCCTTCTGGCCTCACTGGTTTCTAATTAGAAATAAGCTGTTAATCTTATTGAGGATCATTTGTACATGACAAGACATTTCTCTCTTGCTGCTTTCAAGATTCTCTCTGTCTTTCAACACTTTGATGATCATGCATCTGTGTGTGGATCTTTTTCAGTTTATCCTACTTGGAATTCTTTGAGCTTCTGGATGTGTAACCTAACATTTTTATCAAACTTTGGAGCTTTCAGCCATTATTTCTTCAAATATTCTGTCTCTCCCTTTCCACCCCGCCTCTTCTTCTGACACTCCCCTTTATGCTTGGTATGCTTGATGGTGTCCTACAAGTTTCCAGAGGCTCTGTTAAGTTTTTTTTTTTCTTCGAAGATTTTATTGGGGAATTGGGGAAAGGAACATCGTGTTTTTCCAGAACTCATCAGTTCCAAGTCAAGTTGCCATACTTCAATGTTAGTTGTGGAGGGCACAGCCCAGCTCCAAGTCTAGTTGCCACCCTCAATCTAGTTGTGGGGGAGGCGCGGGGAGGGGGGAAAACACAGCCCACCATCCCATGCGGGAGTCGAACCGGCAACCTTGTTGTTAAGAGCATGCGCTCTCACCAACTGAGCCGCCCGGCCACCCGTTGGCAACTCAGCGGCAGCTCAGCTTGCATGCAGCTCACTGGCCAATGTGGGAATCGAACCGGCGACGCCATTGCTCTGAGCTCGCACTCTAACCAACTACACCACCTGGCCAGCCCAGGCTCTGTTAAGTTTTCATCATTTCTTTTTTTTTCTGTTCATCAGAGTGGAAAATCTCAATGAACCTATCTTCAATTTTTGTTGATTCTTTCTTCTTCCTGATCAAATCTGCTATTGGACTCTCCAGAGAAATTTTCATTTCAGTTATTGTACCTTTCAGATCCAGAAATTCTATATGGCTCCTTTTTATAATTTCTCTCTCTATTGATATTCTCTATTTGGTGACATTGTTCTCATACTTTTTAGTTTGTTTTGTTTTGTTTTGTTTTTTTATTGGGGAATTGGGGGGATGGGAACAGTGCTGGGGAATTGGGGAAGGGGAACAGACAAGTCGCTGTCCTTTTGTTCTTCAGTCTAGTTGTGGAGGACGTTGCTTCACTGGCCCAAGTTGGCACCATCATTGCACTCTTCCCGGGTG